AGTCTTCTTCCAGGGATTTCCCCTGGAAGAAAACCCAAGGAAGGCTGGGGCGGGGAGCCTTCGGAGATCTGGTTCCTGTGCTCGGCCTTCTCCCGCTTGGGATGGAACTGCAGCTTCTGGCGTTCGCAGTCAACGGGTCGTAGTCCTGGTGGCTTCGAGCTTTGCTCATCTCGTACATCTGGAGGGCTCCAGGCCACCGCTCTGAGCCCCAAGGAGAATGATTATTATGTCTGTATGTCTTACAATTCGTGAATAAAAACTCAGAGCACGGGAATGCCACAGCGGCTGCCTGAGTACTCAGTGCTTCCTGGGGGGAACAGAAGGAGTAGCACTCGGTACTCGTCGCTGGTTGGTTGTAATAATAGAGGCCTCACAGCAGAGGGCAACCTCACCTGATCTTTCCGTCGCCCCGCAAAGGTTGCCGTTTAGTTTAAATAGCAAGCGTCGTCATTTAGTAACCACAGCGCCTATATTTGGACTGCAAAAATCCTGAAAGTGGTCTTGTACAGTAGTCTTCCAGATTTTTGCAGCCGAGATGCTATAGGCATAACTTTAACAAAGTGACAGTAGTGAAGCATGGGCGGTTGACAGCGGCATGCTCAAAGAAGAAGAAGGCCAGGTACCCTGCGCTGGAAGCTGTGCCTGCTAAGATTTTTAAAAGTTTATACTTAGACCTAATTTGAGTAACAGTTATACGGCAGACTTCTGCTGGCATCATTCTTGGTGTGTTTTTGCGCTCAGAAATTTAATAAGGTTTAAGATAAGGCTGCAATTCTATACATATTTTTCACTCAGCATTTTAATTACATTACAGATTTTGCTACCATGTTGTAGTGATGAGCAGCTCTAAAAACGGTTAGAAGAAATTTATGGAAGCTATAGATTGCCTCCAGTCTGCAAGTTCACAATAAGGCTTTTACAATTATACAGCACATACATTTGGTTACAAATGGCATGTTAAATAGAAGAAGAATCTAGGGCTACAGCGGGCTGGGTTGCCCAGATATCAAAATTAGCGGCTAAAATCCTACTCTGGATGCTTGCGCCTTCAGAAGCTTGGGTTTTTATTATATTCCTCTAAATACAGACTGCTCTTCCCAAATATGCACTTAATTGTGTTTTTTAAGCACCACATAAAAGCTTTTATTCATTCATTCACGAAATTTATATATCTCCCCCAATTTAACCACAGTTGCTAAAGTTTTTAACAAATAATACTGTACAATCACATTTTTAATGCAAATATTGGCTTGATGGGAATTTCAGGTTTCTTCATTACTTCCTAATTTTCTTTGCACTGTGATGCATTTCAGAGCTTATTAGCTGTTTTTGAAATGAATATTAAAATGTAGAGTATTATTCTCATTACTTTTGAAAATAATTAGAAGGTGAGACAATTGCACAGCTGGACTGAATATAAGAAAGAACAGATAAAATGACTTTCTTGTATTTCCTTAACAGGGACTGTTGGCATACCACTGTCTCTTAGTTGGGGAGATGGGGATTGTAGTTCAGCAAACCTGAAAGGCACTAAGTATGGCCTGTGGGCAATTTTGCACAATGTGCTAAGTTTTACTTAATTATATCAAAGTGCCATGACATCTGCTATGGGAAATAGTTTGCTGGTTGTGCCCCTACCAAATTGATATTCAAACCATTTTTGCCTGTGCTGGCTAACCAGGACTTTTCTGCACACAGTGCACCTAGTTGGGATAGATTCTCCTGTTGAATTATGGAAGGCTAACCTTTCCTCAACCCTACCGTTTTGCAGGAAAAAATCCTGCATGGCTGCAGATAGAAACTGAAAAAGAGCTTGCAGAAATGATGCTGCAGGAATGGATATTTGCGGCTGCTTCTGCCACTAGAAATGAGGGCTGGAAAGGAAGAATTAACCATCAAACAAACAAATTCAGATGATATATAGAGGTCTAATTAATTAATAATTGATTCAAATTATGTCAATTTGGAGAGCCTTAGCCACAATCTGGACTATTCCTGTTTTGGACAGCATATTAATTCAAACTATATTATGCTTTACCGTGTCATTTGAACACACATATTATTGGCCATCTCACAAAGTTGTCCCTTATGATTCAAGGGGATTATTTTACAGCGCATTTGTTTATTTCTAGCTACTTCTAGCATTCAAATAATCTTTATAATATAGCAACATTTGATTAAGAAAACAGTCAAGAACATACTGTCTAGTATTTGCATAAATGCCACATTTATTTCTTTAACTGAACAGTGCCTGAAGTATACACAAACAGTTTAAGACCCTAATTTCCAACACTCATAATTTAAGACATCAAGAAAACTAGACTCATTACTTCAGTATTGTTATTTATACAGTGGTAAAGGGTGTGCCCACAGCAATCACATATATACAAAGCAAGAGAAATGGTCTCCCAGCATTTGGAGATGGCATCACAGGAAGAACTCATGTGGACAAACTAGATAATGGAAGCACAGGCAAAATAATAAGAACAATTAAAATAAAAAATAACCATAACCTCTGTTATTATACAGTAAGATCTCGATACTGAATTTCAGCTCATGAATGATAGAAATCCTTCATATATGCAATTGAATACACGACAGAAAAAGAGACAGTAATAGCATATTAAACAGTTAAATGTCTTGTGTTATAGCCGCAGGTTACCACAGAGGTATGCAATTTCCTTACGGTAGTTTCCTTATTCTTGGCTAATTATGCTCCTTTCACTTATTTTCTGTTGCTTTATGATAATATTCAAGTCTATCATGCTGGATTGATATCTACTGGAGGGTGATAGAAAGAACATCTGTATGGGAGAAATTCCTCCAATAATCTATGTGTGTGTGTGTGTGTGTGTGTGTGTGTGTG